GGTGGAGGTACAGGGGGCCGAGGGGCAGGTGGAGGTACAGGGGGCCGAGGGGCAGGTGGAGGTACAGGGGGGCGATGGGAGGTGAGCCGGGGCGGTGGGTGGAGGTAAAGGGGGGCGAGGGGCGGGTGGAGGTACAAGAGCTGAGCAGTGGGGGGAGGGGGCCAAACGGCGGATGGAGGTAGAGAGGGCTGAGCAGTGGGTGGAGTGGGCTGAGGGGCAGGGGGAAGTACAGGGGGCCGAACTGGGGGTGCTGGGGTAAACTAACCCCACCTGCTGTGTTCTAGGCAGCGCATCAAGTCCATGTTCTACCACGCCTACAACAGCTACCTGGACCACGCCTTCCCCTACGACGAGCTGCGGCCCCTCACCTGTGACGGCCAGGACACCTGGGGCAGGTGCGTCCCCCTCCGTCCAGCCCCAAAGGGCTTTTACACACCTTACACAACCAAAAACTATGCACTTCGTAAGATAAAAAACTCTACATTTGCCACATTGTGGGGTAAAAGAATGGAAATATTGCTCACTTGTAGGATAAAACATCCGAAATATTGCACATTTTGGGGTAGAAAACTGTAAGTATTGCACATTGTAGGGTACAAAATTTAAAATAATGCTCATTTTGGGGTAGAAAACTGCAAATATTGCACATAGTAGAGTAAAAAAATGGAAATATTGCTCATTTGTAGAATGAAACATCGGAAATATTGCACATTTTGGGGTAGATTTGTAGGATAAATAATCGTAAACATTGGACATTAAAGATAAAACTCTTTATATATTGTGCATAATAAGATTAAAACCGTAAATATTGCACAATATTGCACCATTGGTGGAATCGGTAGACAAAAATCTGCTACAGACTTCTACTGCCTTTGTTGTTGGAAAAAACCAACCTGGTGCTTTGTCTCCTCTGCCTGGCAGTTTCTCGCTGACCCTGATCGACGCCCTGGACACGCTGCTGGTAAAGCTCCATGTTTGTCTGTAGCTCCTCAGAGGTCAGAGGTCACAGGTCACATGTGCTGCTCCTCCCAAGGTCCTGGGGAACCACACCGAGTTCCAGAGGGTGGCGTCCCTCCTGCAGGACGCCGTGGACTTCGACATCGACGTCAACGCCTCCGTGTTCGAGACCAACATCAGAGGTGGGAGCGGGCGGGGGGGGCGGGAGGCGGGTGGTCAGTGGCGGCGGGTTACGGGTGGCGGGGCTGACCCGTGGGCTTGTGCGTGCAGTGGTCGGGGGGCTTCTGTCGGCCCACCTGCTGGCAGGGAGGGGCGGCATGGAGCTGGAGCCCGGCTGGCCCTGCTCAGGACCGCTGCTGAGGATGGCCGAGGACGCCGCCAGGAAACTGCTACCCGGTATGGTTAGGGTTCTGGGTTAGGGGTTAGGGTTCGGGTTCAGGGTTAGGGGTCAGGTTCAGGGTTAGGGGTCGGGGGTTAGGGTTCAGGGTCAGGGGTGGGGTTAAGGATCCAGTACAGGACCAGGTTTAGGGTCAGGGTTAGGGGTTAGGGTTCAGGGTTAGGGGTCTGGGTTAGTCGTCGGGTTAGGGGTCAGGGGTGGGGTTAAGGATCCAGTACAGGACCAGGTTTAGGGTCAGGGTTAGGGGTCAGGTTCAGGGTTAGGGGTCGGGTTCAGGGTTAGGGGTCGGGTTTAGGGTTAGGGGTCGGGGGTTAGGGTTCAGGGTAACGGGTCGGGTTCAGGGTTAGGGGTCTGGGTTAGTGGTTGGGTTAGGGTTCAGGGTTAGGGGTCGTGATCAGGGTTAGGGGTCTGGGTTAGCGGTCAGGTTCGGGGTCAGGGGTGGGGTTAAGGATCCGGGACAGGACCAGGTTTAGGGTCAGGGTTAGGGGTCAGGCTTAGGGGTCGGGTTCAGGGTTAGGGGTCGGGTTCAGGGTCAGAATCAGGGTTAGACGTCAGGTTCAGGGTTGGGGTCTGAGTGGGGTTCAAGGTTAGGATCAGAATCTTGGTCAGGGTCGGATTCAGGATCAGTGTTAGGGGTTGGGTTCAGGGTCAAGATCAGGGTTAGAGTTCAGTTTTAAGGGGTCGTGTTCAGGCCCGCTGGCCCTGGGGGGGTCCAGCAGGCCCTTTGGTGTTCTTGCTGGCCCTGCGGGGGTCTAGCGGGGGGGGTGAGGTCCGGCTGTAAGGTTTGGCTGTTCCAGCCTTCCAGACCCCCTCCGGGATGCCCTATGGGACGGTGAACCTGCTGCGGGGGGTCAGCCCCTCGGAGACGCCGGTGACCTGCACCGCGGGCGTGGGGACCTTCATCCTGGAGTTCTCCGCGCTGAGCCGCCTGACCGGGGACCCCGTGTTCGAGGACACCGCCCGCCGGGCGCTCAGCGCCCTCTGGCAGACCCGCTCAGACATCGGCCTGGTGAGTCGCCCCGGGTCTGAGGAGAACCCAGAGAGACAAAGGGGGATCCCTGAGGACCTCCACCAGAAAAGAGCCCCGAACTCCAGGGCTGGTGGTGTGTCCGAGGGGGGGACCTGCCCAGTTCAGCAGGAAGTCTGGACACAACCGGGTCTGATTGGCCAGAACCTCTGACATGCCTCTAACAGGTTCTCCTGGTTCAGAACTGCACGTTCTCCCCGTTCAGGTGGAGGTTCTCATGGTTAAGAACTGCAAGTTCTCCTGGTTCAGAGACAGGTTTTCTTGGTTCAGGTGCAGGTTCTCCTGGTTCAGAGACAGGTTTTCTTGGTTCAGGTGCAGGTTCTCTTGGTTCAGATGCAGGTCCTCTTGGTTCAGGTGCAGGTTCTTTTGGTTCAAATACAGGTTCTCGAAGTACAGATACAGGTTCTCGAAGTTAAGATAAAGGTTCTCTTGGTTCTGATGCAGGTTTTCCTGGTTCAGATACAAGTTCTCTTGGTTCAGGTGCAGGTTCTCTTGGTCCAGATACAGGTTCTCGCAGGTCGGAACAGCAAATTTTCACCCCTTCAGAACAGCAGGTTCACCAGGTTAAGAACTGCAAGTTCTCCTGGTTCAGATCCAGGTTCTCCTGGTTCTCATGGTTCAGATGCAGGTTCTCTTGGTTCAGGTGCAGTTTTTTTGGTTCAGAACAGCAAGTTCTCCTCATTCAGATGCAGGTTCTCCTGGTCCACATACAGGTTCTCATGGTTCAGATGCAGGTTCTCTTGGTTCAGGTGCAGTTTTTTTGGTTCAGAACAGCAAGTTCTCCTCATTCAGATGCAGGTTCTCCTGGTTCAGGTGAGTGTTCTCCTGGTTCATGTGCAGGTTCTCCCGGTTCAGAACTGCAGGTTCTCCCGGTTCAGAAACAGGTTCTTCTGGTCTCGGATGCAGGTTCTCATGGTTCAGATACCGGTTCTCCTCGTTCAGATGCAGGTTCTCTTGGTACAGATGCAGGTTCTCCTGGTTAAGATGCAGGTTCTTCTGGTTCAGAACAGCAGGTTCTCCTTTCGTGCTCTGATCATTTGTGTGGTTTGTTCTCAGTAAAGGAACCTAAAGGCTAACGGTCTTCTTTCTCTCCGTGCCTCTCAGGTGGGGAACCACATTGACGTCCTGTCCAGGAAGTGGGTGGCGCAGGACGCGGGGATCGGCGCCGGCGTGGACTCCTACTTCGAGTACCTGGTGAAGGGCGCCATCCTGCTGCAGGACCAGGAGCTGCTCAGCATGTTCAGGGGTACGCTCTCGGGCCTGGCCCTGTCCAGAACCCCTCCAGAGTCCGGTTCTCCTGCACCCTTTATGAACCTCTGGTTCTGCTGGACCCTTTATGAACCTCTGGTTCTGCTACACCCTTTATGAACCTCTGGTTCTGCTACACCCTTTATGAACCTCTAGTTCTGCTGGACCCTTTATGAACCCCTCTGTGTCCCCAGCCTACGACCGAGCCATTCAGAACTACACCCGCTTCGACGACTGGTACCTGTGGGTCCAGATGCACAAGGGAACCGTGTCCATGCCGGTGTTCCAGAGCCTGGAGGCCTTCTGGCCCGGTCTGCAGGTACCGGCAGGGGGCTGCCGGGCGGGGGGGAGGGGGGCGTGGCCTCAGCGGAGCCGCTGCTGACCTACCTGTTCTCCGGGTTTCAGTCGCTGCTGGGGGACCTGGACCGGGCGGTCAGAACCTTCCAGAACTACTACTCAGTGTGGAGGCAGTTTGGGGGCCTGCCGGAGTTCTACAGCATCCCCCAGGGGTACACGGTGGATAAGAGGGAGGGGTACCCCCTCAGACCAGGTGGGTTCTGGGGTCATGTGACCCCCTCAGACCAGGTGGGTTCTGTGGTCATGTGACCCCCTCAGACCAGGTGGGTTCTGTAGTCATGTGACCCCTCAGACAAGGGGGGTTCTGTAGTCATGTGACCCCCTCAGACCAGGTGGGTTCTGTAGTCATGTGACCCCTCAGACCAGGTGGGTCTTGTGGTCATGTGACCCCTCAGACCAGGTGGGTTTTGTGGTCATGTGACCCCTCAGACCAGGTGGGTTCTGTGGTCATGTGACCCCTCAGACCAGGGGGGTTCTGTAGTCATGTGACCCCTCAGACCAGGTGGGTTCTGTAGTCATGTGACCCCTCAGACCAGGTGGGTTCTCTGGTCATGTGACCCCTCAGACCAGGTGGGTTCTGGCTTCCCTGTGTCTGAGGTCATGTGAGCCGCTTAGGTCCAGTGACCTCTGGTCCAGTGACCTCTGGTCATGTGACTCTGGTCATGTGACTCTGGTCATGTGACTCTGGTCCCGCCTCTGTTCCAGAGCTGATGGA